GGTGCAGCACGTGCGGTCGTGCAGAGGAGGAGGGCGCTGCTGAGGGCAGCGCCATAGCCCAGCCACCATAGCTGGTGGGCTTGGACTACAGTGAAGCGCAGGGGTGGTCTTCGGGTGACAGAGAGGACAGGTGTGGGTGAAGTCAGGGGATAGGTGAAGRATGATGATGATGATGATGATATGAGGGCACGTACCTTGTATTGGTGATGGTCTGCATGGGCGGCATCTTCAAGTACTTCGGGCTGCTGCTGATGTCAACAGTTGCATTGTCTTTTTGTAGTCTGTAGTAGCTGTGTAGGAGTAGGCTGGGCGCTGAGCGCCAAGTGTGAGTGTAAGGGAACTGGACTCTTTTGTTGAGAGGAGAGAGTGTGCTCTCCACGGACATTGGTTTTCAGTGCTACGAAACTCCATTGGTGTATTATTGGTGCAATGCTGCTATCTGGACACGGTGTGACTATTTGGCTTGCAATGTGATGGTGTGATTTGGGATTGTCATCTCGCTGTTGCTTATTTTCCTTGCAATTTTCAATTTTGTAAAGAATTTTCATGTGACCCTGAGAGAGAAGACTTTCGGTATGCAAAATAGCAAAATACTATGCATAGTCTTTTTCAAAGATTTTTCACAATTTTTTGACTTTTTTTTTAATTTCTTTTTCAGGACCTTTGCCTCTCCCTTGCCCCTGTCAAGGCACCGGAGGCTCTCAAGCGATTAACAGGGACCCACGGGTTCCCTCCCAACAAAAACAATTAAAAGTTTAAACTATTTTTCGCAAGTTTTTTTTGGGCCCAGCTGGGGAAGTGGTCTCATGCCAGTATGGTAACCTGGTAGAAATGATTAAAAAAACTGAAAATTTCAAAAAAAAGATATGCTCATATACTAATAATACGAACAACTTCCATCAGGGAGTCATCTCAGAATCCCTCACCACTTTCAATTTTAAAAAGAACAGAAAAGAGGGGGGGAAAAAAGGTTGGGAAATAAAAAACAAATTGGCTGAGCCTGAACAAATACCGTCCGTCGCCCGGCCATCCCAGAAGACCAAACGTGGCGCGGGCTTCCATGCAAGGGTTTATGCCTTGGCATAGGGCCCTGCAGCAGGCGCATGCCCGCCCTAAGGGAAGGCAGGCCTCCTGAATCTCAATGCGCCCTGAACTCGTCAGCTCTTGCAAATCTTGGTCGGCGCCAGACAGTGTTGCCACGCCAGTTGGTTACATCCGCCTTGCTCGTGAGAATCCAAAATACTCGTGAGCCTTCCAGGCTCTTCCAGCAATGTGGTCGAAGCAGGGAGCACCGCACGTTTGTGCCTGGGTGGTTGGGCATGCCTAACCAATTCGGCCCCAGGCCACTGTCTGAACGGGCCTGGGGGCCGACACTTTGGCCGAGACTGAAGCTACTGGAAACTCGGTCTCACGTGACGGGGGCAAGGCAAAGTGCCGCCACTTTCCATAACGTAAAGGGCAGGGTGCCGGGCTCGATAGTCGGGGACTTGGAGGTGCAAGCGGCAGCGCTGCTGGAGCGAGGGCTCGCGGCTGCATGCTTAGCACTAGCACAAGTGCGAGCACGAGCGGGCGTTCGGGTTGAGGGCACTGCAAGAAGGCAGCGCCATAGCGGGGCCGTCATAGTCGGGCACCACCTCGGATAGTCAGCGGTGATGGTGGTGGTCTTTGTGTATGGGATGTAAATCGTGTGGGTGAAGTCGAGAGAGGGGGAGAGAGAGAGAGAGAGAGAGAGAGAGAGAGAGAGAGAGAGAGAGAGAGAGAGAGAGAGAGAGATTAGGTCAGTGACGTGAGGGCACGTACCTCGTCTTGGCGATGGTCTGAGAGAGAGGAGAGAGAGAGATTAGGTCGGTGACATGAGGGCACGTACCTCGTCTTGGCGATGGTCTACAAGGTCGACATCTTCATGCACTTCGGTTGTTGCTGCTGACATCAACGGGATGCATTGTCAATTCCTAGGCCGCTAGTAGCTGTGTAGTAGTAGTCTGGATGCTGAGCGCCGAGTAGGAGGAAGGGCTCTGGATACATATGTCAGTGGCGGTGAGAGTATGCTCTCATTGACATTCCGATTCGGTGCTTTGGTTCTCCCTTGGTGAATATCATCAGTGCATTTCTGCTTTCTGAACAGCTTTGGACTTTCTGCCTTTCAATATGACTTTGTTGCATTCTGCATTTCTGTCATTTCGCTATCGCTCATTTTCCTTGCATCCAGGCCAGTAGCTGAGATTTTCTGATACATGGATGGATAAACCGCTAAGGTCGGTGAACGAAAGGAAAAATAGTAAATTAGTTAAAAATTAAAATTACTGAATTAGGAATTTAGGATATGCAGCACATTAAATAACTCACTTGCACAAAGTTGCCAGATTCGTAGACCAAAGTACGCGAAAACCGCAAAGCCAATCAATTTTCCGAAGCCCCATGATTTCTTCTGTGTTCTCTCATACTGGTAGGGAGGAGCATGAATGCAGTCCCCAGTACCGCCGAGCCGCCATTGTCCCCCGTGTTATCGCCGCGAGGCAGTACACATAAAACATTTTGAAGTTCGAATTCCGAAAACGACAAACCAAAAGCACAGACAGCGAAAAAGTTGAACAGGTGTGAGAGAGATCGTCACAGTCAGAAAAGACTTTTTCTAACGGAATGGCACCGAATGATCTGAAATTCTTGAATGTTTCTGTCTTTCTTAATTTTTTTTTTTTTTTTTTAATTCAGAGTGATAGAAAATGTGGCTGTTACCAGCGGGCCTACCGTCTTCACCCGAACAGAACGCCCGGTCATTATAGCTGTATTTGGCACAACTTTCAGCCCACATACGGCGATAATTACCGGGCGTTCTATTCGGGTGAAGATGGTAGAGCTTTAGTTGGTACACCCTTCAACTGTTGAAAATTGAAATACAGACTCAAGTTCGAATCCAGTTGGAATCAGACAAACACAACAAAAACTCTAAATACCAGGTCGGTCAGTTCAATGATAACATCTCAGCTTCTCAAGGCCATTCGCCTTAGCTCAATGGGTACAACCCTCAACCGTCGAAATACAAATCGAATCCAGTTGGAATCAGAAGAACAGAATGAATACTTCTGAATACCAGGGCGGTCAGTTCGATGATGACATCGTAAGACCATTGCCTTCCCGGGAAAAAAAAAAAAAAAAAAAAAACTCGTTGCCGACATCTGCAACTCCCCACTTGACTCCGCCACTCCGCCAAAGTGGGCAATTCAATCGGTGCCTTGCACGGTCGCCCTCACTACACCAACAAGAATCTGGACTACGATTCACATTGAGTCTGACTGAGATTGGATTTGACTTTTTGTGCCATTATTTGTTTGTCTTTTTTTGTTTCGTTTGGGCTGTTCGGAGATTGGATTGACTTTTTGTGCCATTTGTCTTTTTTTGTTTCCTTTGGGCTGTTCGTAATGTTATTGTCATTGACGAAGGGGATCTCTTGTCAACAAGCTCGATCAACCAGGTTGAGAAGCATTTCAAAGAGGTGTTTCGACCTGTGTAAAACTCCGGGCCGCCCGGCGGCCCAGCCTCCGTCCGGCAGGGGTCCCGGGCGGCCCGGCCAGTTGGGTCCCCCGGTTTGCGCCGGGTGGCCCAAGCGCATTTTTGCGCGGGGGGGCGGGGAGGCTTTTTAGATGTTTTTTCGCGCTTGGGAGCCTCCCCGCCCCCCCGCGCAAATTCTTCCGCCGACTCCACATACGTTCGGGCGGCCTTCGAATTCGAACGTCGTCGCTGCCCGCCTTCGCCGAGGTGCCCGTCGTCACTGCCCGCCTCCGCTGCCCGTTTCCCAGCTCGTCGTCGCTGCCCGCCGTCGGAAAGCTGCCCCGTCGTCGTTGATACGGTACCATGTCGCGAAGTGCCACTTGTCCTCTCTCTCTCTCTCTCTCTCTCTCTCTCTCTCTCTCTCACTCTCTCTCACTCTCCTCCTCCTCCTCCTCCTTCGTCATCCTTTTTTTTTTTTTCGTCGACGTATCACGAAACCGCCAGGTCCTTCTCCTCCTCCACCTACTCCCTTCGTCTTCTTCTCTCCTCCTCCTTTCTCCTCCTCCTCCCTATTTCATTGGTTTTCTTTATCGGGCCAAGTGCCACGCGTCAGGCTCTCTGTCTCTCTCTCTCTCTCTCTCTCTCTCTCTCTCTCTCCTCCTCCTCCTTC